CGAGTCTCCTGCCTCCGCCTCCCAAGTAGCTGGGACCACAGGCGCCCACCACAACGCCTGGCTGTTTTTTGGTTGCAGCTGTCATTGTTGTTTGGGCGGGCCCGGGCTGGGGATTCGAACCCGCCACCTTAGGTGTACGTGGCTGGCGCCTTAGCCGGTTGAGCTATAGGCGCCGAGCCTCCCCTCTCACTTTTAAATAAGAATGTTGTCAGCAAGGGACCAGTGCTCAGGTATGGACATGGTCAGTTGACCTGACAAGGGACCAGTGCTCAGGGATGGGTGTCATCAGTTGACCTGACAAGGGACCAGCCTTCAGGGATGGACATCATCAGTCGACCTGACAGTCTGCTCTTCTGTAGAAAGGTGGACCTTCATTCCTTGCAGATAGTTTTGGAGCCATGTCAAATAAACATCTTAATCACAGTATCTCATGCACATTTCTCCATTTTGCACTCAGGAGGCATTAGCCTGGTGCCTTCCCCTGAGTTTGGATGACTTAGACACGCCCCTCTCGAGTAAGTCAGAATGAGTCCCGAACCTTCCCCTGGCTGAGCCTTGGCACGCAGGAAGCAGTGTTTTGTATGTTCTGGGTTCCTGGCTGCCCTTATGTTCTTGGATGAACTAGTATCCTTGTACATAATGTCTCTCCTTAGTAACTGATAAAAGTTCTTGGCAGAGCAGAAGCCAGTTGACAGTTCCTGCAGTTGGGTGAGTCACCGGAGCCTCCACTCATCAGCTCCAGGCTGCAGGGGCAGCTCCAAGCACTCAGCAGCCCCACACATGATAAGACTTGTCTGCGCACCACATCGCCCCAGCCCAGGAGCCTCTAATTACACGTCTGGTGTTTGCAGGAGCCCAGGTGGCCTGTGCTCACTTGGGCCGGGAACTGTGAAGGCAGCACGGGCTGGGTTCTCACTGCTGGTGCAGAGGCCGGGTGGGGGAGGACCTCAAAGCCCTGTGCGTCACTTCAGTACAAATTATAATACCCACATTCCAAAGAAAACAAGAGTCCACTTGATGATGCATTTCTTTTTTTCTTAAAGCATTGCCACAATTCTATCTTCCCATAGACGTTTCAAGCCCTTTTGGGTTTTTATATCTCAGTTTTCCATTTGCCCCTCTAACTTAGTACAGCAGAGACACTTGCTACTGCAGGAGCGTTAGTGTGTGGTAGATGCACAGTGACAAAGAGTCTGAATGGTGGCGTGTTTTCCTCCACACAATGTGGCTTTGTCTTCCGAAGCGTCTCGCGATGGGACTTCTGGCAGAGTTGACTTGCCCGCAGGTGTCTTCCATAGTCTTCACAGCCCCCACTGTCAGGAGCCTGATGTGTGCCAGGCACA